CGGCCACGGCACTCCAGTCTGGGCGACCGAGTGACACTCCGACTCAAAAAAAAAAAAAGTGATTCACGTGAATTCACATGCTGTTCCTATTTCTCTTTTATTTTTTTCCCAACCTCCCCCCCGCCCTGTTAATATTCTCTAATTTGTTTACCTGAGGAATTGGATGTGTGTTTCTCTTTTTAAGTGTGTGTCTTGCTTTTTGTTTATTTTATTTTATTTTTATGAGTCGGAGTCTCACTCTGTTGCTCGGGGGCACACTCACAGCCACTGCAGCCTCAACCCACTGTGCTCAGGCGATCCTTCCGCCTCAGCCTTCCAAGTGGCTGGAATCACAGGTGTGCACCACCACGCCTGGCTAGTTTTTTGATTGATTGTAGAGACGAAGTCTCGCCAAGTTGTCCGGGCTGGTCTTGAACCCTCTCACTTCTGCCTCCCAAAGTGCTGGGATGATAAGTGTGCCTCATTTATTTTATTTATTTATTTATTTGTTTATTTATTTAAGTCGGAGTCTCACTCTGTCACCCAGACTGGAGTGCAGTGGCTGCTCCCGGCCACTGCAGCCTTGACCTGCTGGGCTCTAGTGATCCTTCCGCCTCAGCCTTCCGAGTAGCCAGAATTACAGGCATGTGCTACCACATCCAGCTGATTTTTTTGATTTATTGTAGAGATGAGGTCTCGCTGCCCAGGTGGGTCTCGAACCCACAGGCTCAGGCAATCCACTCACCTCAGCCTCCCAAAGGCGCAGGATTACAGGCTGAGCCACCGAGCCCGGCTTATTTTATTTATTTAAATTTATTTTTGGAGTCAAGGTCTCACTCTGTCACCCAGGCTGGAGTGCAGTGGCACGATCACAGCTCACGACAGCCTGGACCTCCTGGGCTCACACCATCCTTCCATCTCAGCCTCCTGAGTAGCCAAGACTACAGGTGTGCACCATCACGTCCTGGCTAATTTTTTTTATTTCTTGTAGAGACGAGGTCTTGCCAGGTTGCTCAGGCTGGTCTCGAACTCCTGGCCTCAAGCAATCCTCCTACCTTAGCCTCCCAAAGCACCGGGATGACAGACATGCACTGTCGGGCCCCGTTTCTCATAGGGAAACTGTTTCAGGGTGGGTTTTGACTTGGAAGTGGAGGCAGGGAAAAGCCTGGACACCAGTTGCAGCCTGGGGAAGGTTTCTAGCTGCTGAGAGCCCGGCTTCTCAGCACACGCACACTGCAGACGCCCCCTTCCCTTCTGGGGGGCTGTGGGGTGTCATCACCCTGCAGTGTATGGGAGAGCACAGCTCACGGCGCATGTGTCTGTTTTCAGAATGGCATCATCACCGGCGTGTACCCGGCCAGTCCCTCCAGCTGGCTTATCGTGGTGGTGGGCGTGATGTCCACCATGTACGCCAAGATCGACCCCTCGTTGGGCCTCATTGCCAAGATCAATCGCACCCTGGACACGACGTAAGTGATCTGCTAGGTCTCCAGGTTGCGGATATTTTTACGACTCTTCAGAGCGGTTTTCAATCCAATTTGATACTTGGTCTGCTGTTCCCACGTCGGCTGTCGCCTGTTGCCTAGATGGGTGTTAAGGTCCCCTGGGAGTTTGTGGTCCTTTGCGGCCCCTCTGAAGGCCAGGGGCGAGAACAGTGGTATGGGACCTGGGGGGTGCCCCCCTAAAAGGTATCAGAGCCTGTGAGGGGGTGGCCGACAGTGACCATGCACTTAGCCTGGCTAGCGGGGCCCGAAAAAGGAATTTCTGCTCAAGGGGCTTATACCTAACATGGTCATTTCTTTAGTTTTTGTTTTTGAGTTGGGGTCTCACTCTGTCACCCAGGCATGATCATGGCTTTCCACAGCCTCGACCTCCTGGGCTTAGGCTATCCTCCCACCTCGGCCTCCCAGAGTGCTAGGATGACAGGTTTGAGCCTCCATGCCTGGCCTGGACATGGTCGTTTCTTTGCATTTTACTCTGAAGTGCTCTCTGAACTGACGGTCATGGATTGGGTGTTCTGGGGGACCTCAGCCCCTTAACTCCCTACCAGATTGGCTTAGAATCCCCCAGAGAGCCCCTATCACTTCCTCCCCTTGGAGATTTCGATTTTTCTAGGAGTTTGAAAAGCAGGCTCTCCTTCTACCAAGAGTTGAGACTGGAGGGCCCTTGGGTAACACTGAGCACAGATCAGCACATGCCACGGTGTCCTTTACTCCATCCTGCTCTGGGGTGGTCCTGACTCCTATCGGGGATCTGGGGTGAGACCCACACTGCGGTGACCAGGCTGGTCTCGAACCCACGGGCTCAGGCAATCCCTGCACCTCGGCCTCCCAAAGTGCTGGGATGGCAGGCATGAGCCACTGCGCCTGGTCTCTGACATACATTCTTATCTTCCAGTCCGAAAACTCCTTAGTGTCTCAAGAATGTCCCCGCTGTCCTGTGTCAGGCATTCCATGCAGTTTCTTTACATTGACCCACATTTTAGGTTTAGAGGGATAACAGCCGTCCCGTGATGGGGCTTTATTTTTCAAGCCAGGAGTTGGGGTGGAAGGTCCATGCTGGGGTCAGGGCTAACCTAAACAGAGAAATTCCAGGTCTTTCGAATCATGCCTTCCTGGTGGTTTGGATATAAATACGATGCCATCCGAAAGGGGTAAGAAAATAAACAGGCAGAAGTGTGACATAGGAGAGAACCCAAAGAAACCCGGAATTTGTTCATTAAAACTATTTACTCTTCCATGTTTAAACTCCAGTCCCTTTCAAAGTCCTGTCTGCTGGCTGCCATACCCCCTTTGAGGTGCTTTTTCCACGGCTCAAAACAGTTTTTAAACTCGTCCGTGTGGATGCCTTTGAGGGCTTCTGCCGTTTTTGGTTTCGCCTCTTCCACGTGGGTAAAACGTTTCCCTTGGAGGACTTTTTTCATCCAGGGAAACAAGAAAAAAGCCACTTGGAGCGAGATGGGGTGGACAGGGAAAGCAGGGCCTGGGGCCATGGCGTTTTGGGTCAAAAACGGCCGAACACTCAGGAGCGAGGGAAGGTGCGCTGGTCAATCCCCCATCATGAAATGGGCAAACACGTTGGAAGAATCTGCAAAAAAAATTCACTGAAGCCAAACGCAGCCTCTCCCAGCAATGGCGGCTGGTCCATGGATGCCGATGGGTTCCTAGGACACTTACCTGGGGCAGCGGGGACGTCTGTCCTATGAGAGGCCCGCCCTCCAGAAGATGATTCTGGATTTTTTGGTTCCCTTCATAAATGAAAACTCCCTCACAGCGAATGACTGATTCTGATGACTGGAAATAAGCAATTAAGCAGATTTGCGTTAATGGGATAAATATTCTTGGGATGGCTTGAGCAGGGACCCTGACTCCGGAACTTTTTTCGACGAGGGGTCCACAGAGGCGCCCTCCACGCCCTTCCCTTGCCCAGAAAGCCTCCAACCACTTGAGAGTGAGCTAGAGTCCAGCTGAGTGACTCACAACCTCAGGCTGGCTCATATCTTATTATTACTATTATTATTTGAGCTGGAGTCTCTGTTGCCCAGGCTGGAGTGCAGTGGCGTGGTCACGGCTCACCACAGTCTCCCCTTCTTGGGCTCAGGAGATCCTCCCACCTCAGCCTCTTGAGTAACTGGGACTACAGGTACGTGTCACCTCACCTGGCTTATTTAAAAATTTTTTTTGTACAGATGAGGTCTCGCTGTGTTGCCCAGGCTGGTCTCGAACTCCTGGGCTCAAGCAATCCTCCCACCTTGACCTCCCAAAGTGCTGGGATCTCAGGCGTGAGCAACTGTGCCCGGCTGCTCGTGTCTTTCTAGGTGTCTGCAAGAGACAGACTAAAAACTCCCAATCATTGTAATGGACGAGTGTCTGACCTGAACGCCTGCCATGGTCCTGTCTGGGGACTGGAGAAACCACAGCAGGGCCTGCTGTCATTCTTGTCACTAAGAAAGCAGCTGGCAGACCTGGGCACTGTCACCAAGCCTGTCTCCTCTCTGTCCCAGAAGCCACCGGCTTGAGGTAGACAATTGCCTCTGAGTGTTCCTTGAGCAGCTCTTGCTACACATTTTCCATTCTCTTGTGGGGTTAGAATAGTCTTTTTATTTCCTCTCTAAGTATAGATTATCTCTTAATTTTTTTATTTAAAAAAATTTTATTTACCTTTTTATAAGTCACAGTCTCACTCTGTCGCCCAGGCTGGAGGGCAGTGGCATGCTCACGGCCACTGCAGCCTCGACCTTCTGGGCTCAAACAATCCTCCTGCCTCAGCCTCCCGAGTGGCGGGGACTACAGGCGTGCACCACCACGCTCGGCTAATTTTTTGATTTATTGTAGAGGCGGGGCCTTGCCAAGTCTCCCAGGCTGGTCTTGAATTCCTGGGCTCGGGCCATCCTCCCGCCTCAGCCTCCCAAAGTGCTGGGATTACAGGTGTGAGAGACCACCTGGGTGTTATTTGGCTTTTATTTCTCTGCAATCCAGTTAGATGTCGAAGGGAGTAAGGAAAATCGGCAACCCAAAGAACTACAGTGAGACCACAAAGATGATAGGATGTTACAGGCAGGCGGGAAGGAGGGACGTCCCCTGGGCAACAGAAAAGGTGGTCGGTCGTGAAGATGAAACCAGTCAGAGGTGCTAGGGTTGTTTCCTGTCGGCCATTCCTAGACCAGCACACTCCATAACTTGCACATTCATGCCCTCTCTCGCTTTGCCGAGGGCTCCATGCTTGGCATCCCACCATTCGGTCTTAGTAATGTAGATGAAAAGCCGTGAACCTAATTGAGCACAGTGGCTCACGCCTGTCATCCCAGCACTTTGGGAGGCGGAGGTGAGAGGATTGCCTGAGCCCACAGGTTCGAGACCAGCCTGGGCAACATGCCAAGACCTCGTCTCTACAATCAAGCAAAAAACGAGCTGGGCATGGTAGCGCGCCTGTAATTTCGGCTACTCGGAAGGCTGAGGTGGAAGGATCGCCGGAGCCCGGCAGGTCGAGGCTGCGGGGGCCGGGAGCGGCCACTGCACTCCAGTCTGGGCGACAGAGTGAGACTCCAACTCAAAAAAAGTTTTTAAAAATGTAATTTATTGTCCGCTCTGTTGTTCAAAGACGATGTGGAAGGACGCACGTGTGATTCATGAAAACCACTTCTCAACTAATCGATCAGAGGCTTGACAAATTTCAAACGGGACAGATTTTTTTTTACTGTTTTTAAGTAGAGAACTTCAAGGAAACATCCATTTTTGAAAAAACTATTGCTGGTATAAGTTTGTCCTGTATAATCACCAGCAATCTCTTGGCAATCTCTTTTGCGTCCTCTCACAGGGGCCATCTGAGCCTAAAGAGTGCCCCCTTTTTTTTTTCTTTTTTTTAGAGACAGTCTTGCTATGTTGCCCAAGTTGATCTTGAACTCCTGGCCTCATGTGATCCTCCTGCCTAGTCCTCCTAGAGTGCTGGGATTACAGACGTGAGCCACTGCACCTGGCTTGTAGGAGAGCTCTTAAAACTGGATTATATTTAGAAGTGTTGGCTATTTAAAGCCCTTTATAATCTGGGTCTTTGTAAGATTTATTTCTTTGCCTGTCTTAAACCTATTTTGGTAAACTGGGCCATCCGCGGCCCAAATTTAGAAAGGGCCAGCCCCATCCAGCCTTAAGGGCCATTTGGAGCTGCCTTCCTGGAGGGGACTCTGGCTGTCCTAGGTTGCTGCCTTCCAAAGTCTTGTCACACAAATCAGGTGGGGTTTGCCTCTGAGTCTGACCATCGACCATTCCCTGGTCAGTGTTCTTTTTTTTTTGAGTCGGAGTCTCATTCTGTCACCCAGGCTGGTGTGCAGGGGCATACTCCCAGCCACCGCAGCCTCGACCTGCTGGCCTCAGGCGATCTTTCTGCCTCAGCCTCCCAAGTAGCTGGAACCACAGGCGTGCGCCATCATGCTTGACTGATTTTTTGATTTATTGTAGAGATGAGGTCTCGCCATGCTGCCCAGGCTGGTCTCGAACCCATGGACTCAGGCAGTCCTCTCACCTTGGCCTCCCAAAATGCTAAAAGTATAGGCATGAGCTACCACGCTTGGCCCAAACATTCTTTCTTTTGAGTTGGAGTCTCACTCCATTGCCCACACTGGAGTGCAGTTGCACACTCCCTGTCACCGCAGCCTTGACCTGCTGGGCTCCAGCGATCCTTCTGCCTCAGCCATCCAAGGAGCCAGAACTACAGGCATGCGCTACCACGCCTGGCTAATTTTTGATTGATTGTAGAGACGAGGTCTTGCCAAGTTGCCTGGGCGGGTCTTGAGCCTGCGGGCTCAGGCAATCCACTCGAGCCACCGAGCCTGACCCCAAACATTCTTTTTTTTTGAGTTGGAGTCTCGCCCTGTCGCCCAGACTGGAGTGCAGTGGCCGCTCCCGGCCACCGCAGCCTCGGCCTGCTGGGCTCCGGCGATCCTCCCACCTCAGCCTTCCGAGTAGCCGAAATTACAGGCATGCGCTACCACGCCCAGCTGATTTTTTTGATTTATTGTAGAGATGAGGTCTTGCTGCCTAGGCGGGTCTCAAACCCACGGGCTCAGGCAGTCCACTCACCTCAGCCTCCCAAAGGCGCGGGATTACAGGCTGAGCCACCGAGCCCGGCTCAAACATTCTTTAAAGAAAGCTTTTTGCTACTGTTTTTCATTCAAGTGCCTATATATATATGAAAATCCTAAATGTGCTATTTGCCTGTTTATGCTAAAATACTGTTTGGTTTCTGTGAATCGAGTAAGTATATATGTGTTTTTCTTTGGTAATAATCTCTAAAACCATGTTTGTGTAGAGATTAGATGATCAGAAAACACCATCTAGGTTTAGAGACTTGAACTTGAATGCCAGACTTGACAGGTGGTAGAAAGATATGTTTTGAAGCAGAAATATGTAGCCTTGAAGATTATTTCTGTGTCACTTAAATACTGTAAAGTGTTAAATGGGTGATTTTCAAATATTGGAGAGATATTTAGGTTGTGCATATTAGTTGTGTTAATCATTTGAGGCACACTTAATTTTTATTTTTAGAATATTTTGTGGTTTCCAAAACATAAAAACAAAACCACAAAATAGTTTCATTTTGCCTCTTTTTTTTTTTTTTTTGAGTTGGAGTCTCACTCTGTCACCCAGGCTGGAATGCAATGGCACACTCACGGCCACTGCAACCTTGACCTGCTAGGCTCAGGTGATCCTTCCCCCTTAGCCTTCCAAGTAGCTGGAACTACAGGCACGTGCCACCACGCCCTGCTAGTTTTTTGATTTACTGTAGAGACGAGGTCTTGCCAAGTTGGCCTGGCTGGTCTCAAATTCCTGGGCTCAGGCAATCCTCTCGCCTCCGCTTCCCAAAGTGTTGGGATGACAGGCGTGAGTCACTGTGCCCAGCTTGTAAACCACTTTCTTTTACAAATGGAAACATTTCCTGTATTTACGTTTTATTTTTAAGACCCTTTTACGTGACTCATTTTTTTGTTTATTCACGATGAATCCTTCTGCCTAGATAAAAATCAAACTCTTTCAATATAAATACTCGAGGTTGTAGTTGTGACAAGTGATTTGCGACTTCTGTGAATAATGACAAAATTCAAAAGTGTGTTTGAGGGGAAAACAGTCATAAAAAGCTGAAGAAAATGGCCCAGAATTCCTGTGAGCGTCAGCCAGGAAGGACAGTGACCGGGCATGGCTCTTACATGGGCAGATCCCAGCCTTAGTGTTCCGTCTGCCACGGGTCCCTAGACCTAGAGGAAGTTGGGCATTTTTTCTAGATTACACAAATTAGTACTGGTTTAATTTAATTTATTTTATTTTTTGAGTAGGGAGTCTCGCTCTGTCGCCCAGGTTGGAGCACACGGACACAATCAGCTTACTGCAGCTCCTGGGCTCAGGCGATCCTCCTGCCTCAGCCTCCTGAGTAACTGGGACCACTGGCATGCACCACCATGCTCAGCTAATTTTTTGATTTATGGAGAGACGAGGTCTCACTATGTGGCCCAGGCTGGCCTCAAACTCCTAGCCTCAAGCAGTCCTCCTGCCTCGGCCTCCCAAAGTTCTGTTACAGGCGTGAGCCACCGCACCTGGCCAGCCTTGATTTTTTTCTGAGGCCACCAAAGCAGATTGGGCTTTGGTTTCAAGGCCAAGAGGAGGAGACTGACTACCCATGAGTGTTGTGAGAGCTGAATTCAAGCCGGGTGTGGTGGCTCACGCCTGTCATCCCAACACTTTGGGAGACGGAGGCAAGAGGATTGCCTGAGCCTAGGAGTTCGAGACCCGCCTGGGCAACTTGGCGAGACCTCATCTCTACAATAAATCAAAAAATTAGCCGGGCATGGTGGCGCACGCCTGTGGTTCCAGCTACTCAGAAGGCCAGGCGGAAGGATTGCCTGAGCCCAGAGGTCAAGGCTGCAGTGGCTGTGAGCGTGCCACTGCACTCTGGCCTGGGTGACAGTGGGAGACCCCAACTCTAAAGAAAAAAAAATCCAGAGAGACAGCAGGATTCAGATGCATGGCTTCCTCTCTGGCTCTGGGCTGCCCTCTCCCTTGTCTATCGCGGGAGGCCGCTCTGCCCTGTGACATGCGGCATCTTGGTGGCCTCACGTGCAGCCTCCTGTCACATGACTGCACCTGTGCTCATCCAACCTGTCTCCGCAGCGCCTGCATGTCCAGCGAGACGAAGCAGGTGGTCAGCGGCGTGCTGTTCGGCACGGGACTCTGGGTGGCTCTCATTGTCACCATGCGCTACTCCCTGAAGGTGCTGCTGTCCTACCATGGCTGGATGTTTGCCGAGCACGGCAAGATGAGCCGTGCCACCAAGATCTGGATGGTGAGTCGTGAGTTCCCCCCCAGCACGGGGCTGGCAGGGATGACGGACGCTCCCAGGGCCCCTTCTCCCTTGACATGCGGTTGGTGACTTGGACTCAGCCTCTAACAGCTCTTGGAGAGGCACATCCACTGTGACATAAAAGCGTGGACTAGCCGGGCTCGGTGGCTCAGCCTGTCATCCCACGCCTTTGGGAGGCTGAGGTGAGTGGATTGCGTGAGCCCGAGGGTTCGAGACCCGCCTGGACAGCGAGACCTCATCTCTACAATAAATCAAAAAATCAGTCGGGTGGTAGCGCATGCCTGTAATTCCAGCTACTGGGAAGGCTGAGGCAGAAGGATCGCCGGAGCCCGGCAGGTCGAGGCTGTGGTGGCCGGGAGCGGCCACTGCACTCCAGTCTGGGCGACAGAGTGAGATTCCATCTTAAAAAAAAAAAAAGCATGGACTTTTGAGTTGGGACCTTGCTCAGTTGCCCAGGCTGAAGGGCAGTGGCACGGTGACAGTCACTGCAGCCTTGACTTCCTGGGCTCAGGCGATCCTTCCACTCCAGCCTCCCAAGTAGCTGGGATTACAGGCAGGCACCACCATATCCAGGTTATGTTTTGTAGAGATGAGGTCTTGCTGTGTTGCCAGACTAGTCTCCCAACTCTTGGGCTTGTACAATCCTCCTGCCTCGACCTCCCAAAATGCTAGGATTATAGGTGTGAGCCACCACGCCCAGCCCAAGAATATTTTTCTGTAATGGCATTGGTGAGTTCTGTAAAGTTTTATTTTATTTTATTTTATTTTTTTTGAGTTGGACTCTCACTCTGTTGCCCAGACTGGAGTGCAGTGGCCGCTCCCGG